CCCCTGGTTTTTCGCGTCACACTTTAATCTCATTATCGCTTTCTGTCAACATCACCAGAATTAGATACGAAATCCATTATAAAAACTTTAATAAGGCCAATATTAATGACATTATTAGTTATTTACGAGGAGTTGATTTTAGCCCAATACACTTCTCAAATTGTGTTGACTGTCCAACCAGTATAGTGCACAACACCCTACATCTTTTTCGTGATTCCAAATACTTTTCCCGATGCAGGTACCCCGAACTTGGCTATTCACGTAACATCTTATATGAAACATCCCTAACAGATGTTACCTATGATGATTAGATCTTCGACCCCTTGAAGCTATTGACTGGTGAATATATAATCGGTTGCGTAATAGAGTGAAGTATGTAAGGGGAAAGGAAATTAAATCGAACGCATCCTAACTTGTCCGGCAATACCAATTCTAAGCAAATATGGCATATGCTGCATGAGAAAGATATATTTAAAGGCAGTTATGATAAATCTAATGATGTGGACGTAAACGCTGTTAATAAGTTTTTCGTACAAATTCAACTAAATGTCAGCGACTTGCTACCATTTTTTAATAATTATAGTGGTCGAAATTTATCTTTCTCATTTCAAAACGTGGGCGAAAGCATTCTTTATAGTACGGTACGAAAAATTAAAACTACATCGGTTGGGATGGACGGAGTATCGATCAAACTTGTTAGCTTGATCTTTCCTCACATATCTAATTATCTATTACAAGTCGTGAACACAGTACTTACGACCTCCAAATTTCCCAAGGTGTGGGAAATAGCTTGAATAAGACGTCTTCCTGAAAGCTGTGTTTTTTTCGCTCTTGATCTAACAAATGCATTTGGCAGAGTCCGATACCCAAAGATTATCAGCAAATTGTAGGACAAGTTCAACTTTTCATGAAGTGCTTGTCATCTTATGTAGTCGTATATTACGTGTAGTCAATAATTTGCCTCAGTTGATGACTATAATTCTTCTCTCGTCGAGACTATGCCTGAATAGGAACGCAAAGTCGAGGGCTTCCCACTGTTTAATATTTTCGTAAATGATCTTGGGGATTTGGTTGACGACTGATTATCTTAAATTCACTTTGGTTATCTACCTCTACAAAATCATTCAATCTTTATTCCCAAGCCTTTTAATCGAAAGGCTGCTTATGTTTTAGTTTCTTTTTGCGTTTGAACTGTATCTATGTAACTAGCTCACATGCCTTTAGGGCTTTATAGTTATTAAAAAAAAAAAAATGCGACCTATACAATAAACACAGGACACCATGACAGACAGACGGACAAACACATAATCACATAGTAGAAAGCGAATATTTGTAAAAACCTTCTTCGTCTTGCATAACGCCCAAACTTAATATATCCTTGCAACACTATTGGTGTGGGGCATAAGAGTTTGTTTGATTCAGTTGAAATTCCATATATATGTCATAACAGGAGTAAGTCTCTCTTTTAATCGATACTCGATCGCATTACAAACTTGGATCAAAATAATATTTAAAAAACATGAAGCGTATTATGTACATCAATATTTTTCGAACCACTCAAATACCACTCCTTAAATGTCTCCATAACTAAACTCGACTTGCATCACTTTCAAAGATACTGGGTCATCTCTCTCAAAACAAAAGTTATTTAAGTTTGCTTTAGCACTGATAGGCATCTTACTATCTTTAGACTTTATAAAATATATACCTTTGATTAACGTAAAATTCGAAACCGATATATATTAGTTCACCTATTTGAATTGAGCTAAAATGTTATGCAAATATTTTTAATGACACATCAAACTATATGTCTAACACTCATGCATTTAACGATATACTTACAATTCTAATGGTATTGGATTGAAAGCTTATACGTAGTGGCTATAAAAAATTGGCCTTACAGCAAATGTAATTTTGTTAACTTTTTTTATTTTTCAGAAGTACAACGTACCTAAGAAAAATGTGAAAATTCGGCATAGCGCTGATGAAGCCGCTATTGTCATCCTGTTGCTTGTAAAAGTTTTCAAGAATTTAAATAGTTACTTATTCTTCTAACTATTTGATCGAGTTTTTCGTTTTCACTTAATTTCCAAAAATTTTATATAAGTATTTTTTCTTATTATTTATTAAACCCTTTTTCCCAAAACATTGAATTTCTAAAACATCGTTATGATCTTTTTGAAAATGAATTATGTACTCAGCAAGTAGTTCTAAAGCTATCTTTCCGCGATTGTTAGAAGAAATCCGAATTATTAGCCAAAAAAATGAAAGCAAAAAGATTTTGGAGGGGTTAGCAATAACCCGTTTATACCCCATAGAATTTGTAGCAAAAAGGTGTATTACATTTGCGCAGATGTATGCAATACCCCGAAAAACTTGAGACAAACCCATCTTTTATTATACCAACGAATCCGAATTACTTTCTGAATCGATTCAAGCTTGTCTGCAGCTCTGTCTTGTTTTATTGCGTTAAGCCTATTGGTCACAATCCGTTACATCGATCGTTGTTACGTGTATATCTTGGCCCAAGGAAGAATATTGTTGAAAATGGCTCCGATCGGACCTATTTTTCGACCCATTTTAGTATTATTGCTTATTGTTTTATTGCATAATTAACATTAACATATCTCTGAAAAATATTGAAACCCTATGAAGAAAAAAAAGCATATTTCAGCATGCCAAGAGCACAAGTTTGAGTGCGAGTTTTGTTGGAGTTCCAAGACTTAAAAACCTTCCGCCTTACATAACTTTGTGAGCGAAACCTATTTAACAAATTTAAATCTCTTTCCTTAGCACTATTGCGAGATATGTCTCAATCAAAAATGCATAGATGGAAGTAGTGAAGTAAAATAAACTTTTAATTGATTTAAAGGACTTGCATTCGCAAAACTAGGGAAATAGACAAAATAACATACATATTTCGTTATAATCTACCTCAAAAGAATTAATTTCGAACTGCAATACTTAAAATATATACCTCGGCCCTCAGAATCGGTATCCCATTTTTAGCACCCAAAATGTAGAATGAAAAAGTCAGTTAAGTATGTAAATGTGCCCTACATGCCCATAATTATGAAAGTCGCCTTAGTCAAAATTAAAAAATTGTAAAAAAAATTCATGGGTTGCTACAAATCCCATAACAAAGATAATGTGAAGACCGTTTCAGCTTAACGAAGAAAGTATGATAGAAAATGCCTCGCAGAATACCGTCAAAAATTGAATGAGAATTTGCAAAAATGTTTTAAATTTGGTTTGATAGAAATAAAACTAAAACAAGCAACGCTTCCCGCAATACAAACCTTCAACTACGTTTATTGTCCCATTTGACTATATAAAGCCCTCAAACTTATGAGAGTTTCATACTATTTCATGTCGCCACTCTGAAGCAATTCTTGTTACAAAATACTGAAAATTAAGCCCTATTATCGTATGAAGGATTATTTTTTATATATCTTTTCCATAAGAGCGCGTATTCAAAAAATTATCCCTTCCTATCCCAATTTTCCGCTCAGTTTAATCTGCTAACTTTCAGTTCCCAATGATTTTTGCCGAGCGGTATTAAAATTGGAAACATTTGTTCATATAATCACATTTCAAAAATGAAATGTTATGTGACGACTGGTCATAAGAATGGTCAAATCTAAGCCATTTTCAAAAGCACTCGCCCTTGGACCAAAACGTACCATGCTATAGTCGACCAAAACAACTAAAAAGTTGCGATTTATATTTTGAACATTAGGGTATCATACCTGAGCAGACGAAAAAAGATCACACAGACGGACACACAAGCAATGGGAAGACAAGCATAGGAAGATACGTACAAACGTGTTCAAACAGATTTATTTAGTAAGTGATTTTAAATCGATCGGTATAAGATAACGTCCATCTAACCTAATGCAACATAACACGTGATATATTCCTACCATAAATGTTGCAGGGTATAAATAACAATTTGGTTATGCAATGCCTTGACCCTTACTATAAATTGATAATGAAAAATGCATTTTCTGTAAAAGCATCGCAGAAGTATTGAAAGAAATGGTCGAAAGTTCACTGGATGAGAAATTTTAAAAAGTGTTCATTACAATATATTCCACAAAACTTGTTTAGTTGATATTGAAGTCTATTTTTCAAATTTTGCGCCAAGAGTTGAAAACATAAACAAAGCGTACTTTCATTACTCTCCAACACTACGAATTTTTCACGAAAGTTCAACTACTAATGTAAATTCATAAAATTTGCCTCTCATAAAATTCATAGCTTTTTAATTTTTTGTCGCAACTGTAAAATGCTTTACTTTATCAGTAAACCAGTCTTTAAAAAAAGTATATTTCTGTAAGGGACACATAATTTGGAATCAATAAAGAATTCTTGTAAATCAAGGCCAAGAAAATTCTTGATATATCTCGACACAAGGTAGAAACACAGGTCAAACATCATTTTCATCATCATGTTTACATATTTAACATAGCTATAGCATTTTAAGTCGTCGTAACCATATACGTTTGTATCTTCTTTCGTCAATCTGTCTTCTGGGCATCGGTCTTTTATCGTAAAACTTGATACAGAAAATTGCGTTTTGATTCATTCATTCTAACGGATTGTTAAAAAGAACATGATTTATTCACAAATACCGTAATATGCAAAAGATCTAAGGATATTATATTATTACGTAAGAATTTAAAAAATGTATTTCATTATACCAAATTAATTTGTCGCAGCTTTTTTATTTAAAACAACGGCCCACCATTAAATACTCTGTACAGATCGTCATATTAAGACTTTTTAAAAAAGTATGTTATAAAGGAAGTGGTCGTCCTTGAACCAAAACACGTCTGTATACCAAATTTCATCAAAATATCTGAAAAATTGCGATCTGTTCATTAAGCAGAAGAATTCAAAGTGGACAGACGGACAGACAACCTTAGACCAATTCAAAAAGTGGTTTTGAATGGATCAGAACAATAAATGGTGAGTTCTTCTGGGCTTTGTATACATACGCACAAACTTAATATACTGTTGTTCAACGTTTCATAATATCGCTTTGACACCTGTAAGAGCGTATTGCAATGCACTAATAAATTTCAGTGATTAGATCCTCCTTGTTTTTGCTTTATTTCAATTTATTTTAATTTCGTTTAACTTATTAACTTATTTTTTAGATTTTTACTTTAATTTTATATTATTTAAGGTTTTTTGATTTAATTAAAGTTTAAATCAATTTTAGTTTCATTAAATTTTGTTATATTTTGATTAAGTTCATTTTTGTTTTATTTTTTCTCATTAAAAAAGGTGAAATTTATTTTATGATTATTTTTTCTTTTTTATTGGTTTTTTCATTACTTTAAACATTCAACGACATCTTCACAAACGTTTTAGAATAAAAAAATGAAAAATTTTAAATTTAAACAATCATTCCAATGCAATGTCTAAAATCAAACTGTGCTTACTTCCCTTTATAAAGTAAATAACAAAATAAGCTGACGAAAAATAATGTAGTCAACCATGTTGCGGCTAAAACGATAAACATTTGCTTGAAAGCACTTAAGTAGAAACGGTAGGGGAGCAAAAATAGAACTTAAAAAAAACACTTTATTGTATTGATTTAACAATTAGAAAATAAAGCTTTAAGAAAACAAACATTAAGAAAAAACAAAAGATTTGAACAACGAACTGGATTTTGTCATTGCTTACAATGCGTAACATGTACTCAGTCTTCACGTTTTCAATTGCCAATTGGACGTCAAATCGAAGTCGAAGTCTGGTTCAATACTAATTAGTTGTAATTATAGTGAATAGGAAAACATTAATAACCATACCCATCTTTATAGCGCAGAGGGCAATATCTTTAAGTCAAATTAGTTATTACATGCATACCACTTCCTAACATCTCTTAGTTTTTCAGTGATTTGTTTACTAAACAGAAATTTAGATTTCAATAGAGAATCGAATGTTGGAACATCATATTAGGTATTAAAGGAATGCTTCCCTATATTCATATGGTTTGGCCAAGTTGAATTAAATGAAATAATTTTGTTCTTTTTATATTATTTATTGTCTTTTTATCTAACATTTTTAAAAACAAGTTAACGGAATGTAAAAATTGTAAATAGGTACACACATCGGTAGCGAGCGTTTTCATCTCGAATGTTTTGAATAAAATTTAGCAATAATAACTGTTACAAAACGTATGTAGTTAAGTTTGCTGGTTTCCCTGACACTAGTTCTGATTTTTGATTCTTGTAAATACAGACTAAAATGTTTCATTTTGAATAGCAAGATCGAACTAAGAATGTTTTGTATATTTTTGGGAAAACACTAAGAGAAATGTATACTCGGACCGATGAATAAATGAAGAGACAGAAGCTTGAATAAACGAGCGGATGGATGAATGGACGAACGAACGGAAGGACAGCTCGAGGAATGAACGAAAGGACAAATGAATGAATAGAGAAATGGAATAATAGACGGGCAAATGCACTGGCAAATGCACAAACGAATTAACGAACAGACGGATGATGTACGAAAGGACGAATGGATGATATACAGAGTGATAAAAGACTAGATGCAGACCGAGAAATGGAGAAATATGGTCCAGTTACCAAGTGCAGATGAGAAAACGCTAACTTTTTGGTAAATCCAGTGTGAGCAGATGAACGAGTCAAGTTCAATCGTCTAAATCTTCCCAAAATTGGATTTCAAACGCACATATGAAATACACATAATGAATAGAAAAGTGCTTTCGAGGACTCAATTATCCGCTATTATCGCTGGACTTCTCATGAATTATTTGACTGAGTCAAGTTTCATAAGCTTTAATATGCAAAATGTATACCCAGAATTCGGCAAGATTCTCCCAATCATTTAATAAAAATAATATTTCTATCAATTTACATCACGCATATAATCCTTGCAATATTTCTTGTTTCCGATAATACATTAATATATGCAATGATATTAATATTTGTCTTGCTTTTTTCTACCACTCCTTATTGGAGTTCTTCTACTGTTTTGCTTGAAAACACGTGTAGATTAGTTAATTTCCAATCACATAATCACTGATAGGCATGTGATTAATAAATTATAAAAATGCTTTGTTTGGTTATACATATAAATACGCATAATTTTTGTGAGTTCCGTGTGTGGTCAAAAGTTTTTAATGAGAATATTTGGTTTAAAATTATTATCACGTCTTGTTTACAAACATTCTTTTTTTTTTTAAATATTAAGGAATTTGTTTTTTTAATTTTATTCAAAAACAATCTTATTTTCTTGGCGAAATCTATTTAAGAATTAATTTGTTTAAAAGCAATGCCAACTTTTTAAAAATTGAATTTATATTCGCTTAAGCTAATCGTCCTAATACAGTCAACTCACATACATAAGTTTTTAAATAATAGGTTGGAGGGAATGTTCTGTCGTATTTTAAATAGGTAGGTAATTTTTCTTGTAAATAAAAAAACATGTGGCTAGTGAGTTATTCGGACTTTTTTAGGTTTGTTGACCTGTTGTATAATATAAAACGATTTTTTTTACCATTCATCAGTCCCTTGTGATATTTAAAGTGAAAAACATGTCTGTAGATAAAGTGCATTTATGACATGCATTCCAAAAAGGAAGCAACATATCGGTTGCATGTAAAAATGTATGTGCGGTATTTGGAAAAGATATTGTAAATGTTCGTACTTGTCAAAGATGGTATAGCAAATTTCGTTTCGGGGATCTGTGTTCGTCATATCTGATTGGACACAAAGCGGAGCCGTTAAGAGAAAAAACCTTACTGCAAACAAAGACCGTCATCAGTAACAGTTTCAAAACCAAGTATCCATCAACGAAAAATACTGCTCTGCTTGTGGAGAAAAACCATTAACGCGGATCTGTACTGCAATCAGCTGGTTAAATTGAACGCAGCTATCAAACAAAAAAGGCCAGCTTTAGCGTTCCATCACGATAATGCTCGACTGCATACTGCAATTGTGGCCCAACAAAAACTGAATGCTGAATGTTAGGATGGGACGTCCTTAGTCACCCACCTTATTCACCTGACATTGCACCATCTAATTATTACCTTTTCAGATGCAAAATTATCCAACGGAAAAAAATTCAAATCTTTTGAAGGCGTTTCTAAGGCAGTTGCTGGCTATTTTAACTCCAAGGTCGAGAACCTCTACAAAACAGGAATTCCCAAGTTACCTGAAAGATAGCAACAGTTTGTTATAAATAACGGAGCATTTATAATTGATTAATATTAAACACGTATTTTGGTAAATGAATTCAAATATTTTCTTTAAAATACGACAGAACTTTCCCTTCAACCTAATAGTTTGCTTTATATTCATAGAGGCATTTTGAAAAGCTCATCAAGTTCACAAGCACTGAATTTATGCTTAATGCATTGTTTAAATATTAATTGGGATCACCTCAAAAACGAGATATGGACTTAACTCGCGACAAATTTTATTCGTTACGAATTTAGGATTTTTGTGGGTAATCATTACTTGATTTTTCATAATCGCTTTATAATTTAAGGCTTATGTAATACACGTAGCTAGCTGGTTTGTGAATTTAAGATAGGTCGTTGAATATCAATTGATCATCAAGTGATGTGAGTAAAGAAGAATGCAATACACTGTTTTCTGAAGATCACTCGAACGTTGCTGATTATGAGTTTCAAAGTAATAATGCGAAAACAAAAGGAGACTACCAGACGGAGACCAGCAGACCAACCATACAAAAATGGGTGACACTAGAAATACTTTGCAATAAGTGACCCACCATCTCTTCTTCCTCGTAAGCAATTTTTTGGCCAGAATTAAAGCAGACAAACGCTGAGTACTTTCGTAGATTCAGAATTTGATACTGATCAATAATATGTAGAGCTTATAAGATCTTTGAAGCCTCCTTCCGAGTGCTGCAAACGATTTGACAAAAGAACGAAATTCCAATACTCTATAATATTGAATAGTCGTGGCTTACTTTTCCATTTTTATACAAGCATTCTAAAATCGCCCATACAGAAATATTTTATTGTTATATTTCTTGCTATACATAAGTAAGTAAGCAAAAAACTTTCTTCACTACCAAGCTGTATGTGAGAACTTCCAACATTTTTGGCAAATTTGAAGCGACACCTTAATTTTTACAAAATGTTCGCGGCAAACATAACACAAACATACGAACAGACGATCATTTTGTTTGTGGGTGTTGTAACTTTCATTCTTCAAATAAATCGGAATAATTCACCAACGTTAAGTATTTAGTTTACCGAGAATTGTATCAAATAATTGTTTCGTTTGCCACTATTTCGACAATTCTGCATATTATACATTTTCATTCAATGGCAAATTCCTTCATATTCAATAATAGTATAATAGGCAGATGATAGAAAAAGGACAAAACTTAAATGATGTTCACCTTACGTCGAATCTTTTAATGCTTATCTCCCAAGTTATATCTTGAATGTTGACGAAAATAATACAAACAATCACTGATTAGCTATAATTTTTGAATTATCGAAGATTTCTGCCTTCTATATAAATGGTGCAAAAGCAAGCCAAAAGTCGTACATCCGCTTAATCTGCATAATTGTGAAGTATTCCCTTTAGGCTACTTACAAAAATGTCTTACAAAAATTATTTTGGTAACCAATATATGAATAATAGGTTATAAAAAAATAATTAAAAAAGAGCTTGCCATCAATACTGGTTATAAGTCGTTCGTGCCAAGACAATTCGAAAAAATTTAAAAATGTAAGCGAAACTAAAAGGTTTCTCTCATATAAATGATTTCAGGATAAGCTGCTTAACAAACTAGAAGAAAGCGACCCAGATCCTCCCACATCACAAGAGGATGAATGTGTTATCTGCATTAATGCTCGCGCTACTATGCAAACTTCTCCCTGTGGCCATCGAGTAGTTTGTAGACGTTGTTTCGTTAAAACAATACAGAGTGCAGTAGCCCAACGATTATTACCGCTACGCTGTGTTATATGTCGAGCCCGAGTGAATCGTCTTACATCGAGTTCAGGCACTTGGCGCATACAAGAATCTGCCAGCAGTTATTCGATGGGTGCAAAAAGTTGGGCTTCGGTTGGTGTATCAACAGGTGGCGTAGCTCCTTCAGCCAGCTCTTATTCAATGAACGATGCGCACAGTGGTCATCATGTTTTTCATATGCCGACACGTTTTCCCCGCAGCCCCACTACTCGCGTCTCGCAATCGGATAGTTTATATTCGATGAGTTCGACCGGTTCATCCTCAGCGACGTCTGTGTTCTCAAAAACGTCTTCCATTTCGAGTGAATTGTGTTCACCCGCCTCACCTATATCACCGACGACAGCGTGTGCTTATGCCCAAACCACCACCAGCATTCATAATAACACCTTAATATTGAATAATCATTTGGCCCCACCGACGTCCAGTTTATCGCCACACTCGCCGTCCTCGACGTCGGGATCGAGTACTTCGGCAGGCTCTTTATCACCTAAAGAAAATTATTCCCACTCCCATCATAGCAGTTGCCCAACTGGTTGTTCTGGAGCTGTACCTCGTAAACCTTTAAAATCTGCAAGTACCTCTTCCTCAAGTGGTTCATGTAGCAGTTCTTCTAACAGCCATATTCAACACAATTTCATAGCAGCCACCACCCACACTTATCCAGGAAGACGACATAACAAAGGCAGACTTATGGATTTGCAAAATCGTTTGCCACCTATAAAAGAATTCCGAAGTCCCGCCAAAGTGCCACATCCTTCGCCAGTGCACATCAGCAATCCAAAATTTCGGTGAGTACTATGAAATATAAACTGATCAAATTACGATTATATGTAATCAAAAATTATTTCAGTTATGCTTCCTATACTAAGTCGTTGAGTGGCGGCAAAAGTAAAGAACCTTCATCACCGCCTAAACGGCCCATGAACATACATATAAGTGCTTCCCTAAATACCTTAGATCCGCCACCTTTAAAAACGGGAGGCTCTAAAATTAGTCCCCTCATTAGTAAACATTCAATGCCTACAGCAGCTTACAATTCTGGCAAGGATACAAGAGTCTCTTCCTCCTTGATAACCAACAGTATCACCAATAATAATTCCTGCCCGACAGTGAGCAGCTATAATAATAATAAAATATCAACGATTGCCACGAAAACTTGTCAAACGAAATCAACAGTACTGGCCGCTTTAAGTGCAAAAACAACAACTGGAGTACCTACAAAAAATCAACCTACTCATCATTCACCAGTTGCAACCTTAACGGCGGCTTTTACATCCAGTAAAAGTTTTCCATTGTTTTGTAACAACAATAACAACAACAGCAATCACAGTAAGTAGCCAACGAATAAAGCACATTTAATTTTCTTTGTACATAAAATATATTCAGTGCTCTAAAATTCGGGCACACAAACATATGAATAGATATTTATTTCTTGTGTGTATTGCAATGAAAAGAAAATAAGCTGAATGCAGGCGCGCACTGTACCACCGCCTGGCAAGCAAGAGCAAGCTTCGCAACCACAAAACACTAAGAAATATTTCATAAGAACATCCCACTTAAAAAACTAGAGAATGTATTTTTAAATTTCATTATTAAATTTATAGCAGAAACAAAATTTAAGTTCATTGAAGACATTATTTTTAAGTTGGAAGGGAAATGATGTCCTTAACGTAAAAGCTGCAAAACAGTGTTTTTATTAATTTTAGGTAAATTTTTAGATTTGCTATTTGTAAATTATTGAATACCTTTTAAAGCGGTTTCAGTTCTTACATCGTATCTCAATTGTGATACAAAAGTATGTCACGTTTGTTCGGATGAATGCAACACCCAGAAGGATTTGATATAGATCCATCTTTTATTTTATCGCTTGATCAAAAATCACTTCCTGAATCCTTGCTGAACTTGTCTGTCCGTCTGTCTACCTGTGTTATTTCCCGTTTCATTATACTGACCGTTTCAGAAACACATTTTGAATTGATCTAAGTTTTGTCTGCTTCTAAATCGATAAAAGCTTGTCCGTCTGTCCATCTTGTAATCTTTTATTTAACCTACAGACAACAATTTTTGAGATTTTTGGATAAGTTCTTCTCTACATTTTGTTACAGAGGAAAAAGCTGAAAATAAAAAAAATGAAACAATGGAGCGAAGAAAAGAAGAGAAACTTAAATTGAAGGCAGAAAAAGAGGCTAGAAAAGTAAATTTTGCATTAATATCACTTAATAAATAAAACTTAATTTTAAGAACTATCTTTACAGGAAGAAAAACGTTTGGCTAAGGAAGAGGAACGTATCGCTAAGATGATGGCTAAAGAAGAGAAAAAGAAAACGAAAAAAGAAACAAAAGAATTACTCTTAGCTCATGACGTCAATGGTAAGAGACATAAAGAATACCAATAAATTGCGATCTTTACGCGATCTGTCTGATTGCATTTTGAAGATATTAGAGAAAATTTCTGTAAAAAATAGTTTTAAAGAAGAAATGCTTTTTCATTGTTGTACTTCGTTGCAAAGTATCAAAAAGTTCTTTAAGAAAATAAGTCGGCCATATGATATGACTAGAAAACGATTTATATACGTAACTTTTAAGAATTTACAAGAATTTAATTTTAGCTGAAGATACACTTTTATAAAACAAAAGAAAAGTAAGTCTTTTCAAGCAATGGATAAACGAATCGATTTACTTTCTTTCTTCTAATTTTTTTACATATTCGAGAAATTTTCGTACGCGCCACCCAGCGAATACCATTAAAATTATGAGCATCATTAAAAGTATAGTTTTATCAGACCAATACCTTCATATCAAACAAAATTCACAGTTCGGAGGTCTTCTAAATTCATTGTTGACGAAATAACCCATTTTTCCGTGCACCTTTTAATTAATTGTTTCGCGTCAATGGATCCAAATAATCTGAATGGAGTTGAAGTTAATCGGCTGAAAGTTGTATGCTTTGTTGTAACCTTTTCGACTGATCATAATGTTCGCTAATTCGAAGAAATGTCGGTTTCTAATTTATGTCGATGCTTTTTTCCTTGTTTACTTTTCTTCTTCTTCTTTTTGCGGATAAATAAAGAGTTATTTAGATAGATTTTGCAGGGTTTTTGGCAGAATATGATAAGATTTATTGAATGTGTGTTTACCAGAAAATTCCGATCGTTAACAGAAAATTCCAATTGCTAATACTATAATCCGGTGACCAATAGAAAATTCCGATAGTTCAAAAAATTCGGTTCCTATGGTTTAAAATAGTTTGGAAAATTCAAATTCTGACTGCTACTAAAGCGATGTTCTAAAGCGATGGTCGAAGGTTCTTTCATTACCTAGGACGATTTTATCGTTTTATGTTTTTTTTTTTTTGTACTAATGTGTGTATATCACTTACGATACATCGCATGACGGTCTTTGCTTAGAACTTGATTCGATATTTGCTGGTACGATCTAAATTTGTACCAAAGTGTAGGCACATATATTTCTCTGGGTGTATTAACTTATTATAAAATTTTCAAGCTTCCAAGTAGAATTTGGAATTGACGGCTTGCCAACGTTAATGCTGTTTCATCTGACTAACGTGGGCGATGCAGAATGCCCTTCTAGAGATAGCACAAAAATCGGATGATCCAAAAAATCACCAAAGTATTATAGATATACTTACGTGTCGTTTATATATGCACATGATTTTAATGCCAAAAATTTTCAAGTCTCCAAAAAAAATTTAAACTGCCTTGTTTTATGCACCTTGATACTTTTCCGTCTAAAGTGTACGTAAGAAAAACGATGGTAACGTATAAGGAAAGTACTAAGAAGACACTTCGAATTCTGCATAATGTAAATTCTGTAAATTAGGTTTTCAATTTTATTACATTGATCCTTATAGACTTTTTTGGGCAATCAAAAACGCAAAAAAGTTCGCACTTTTTCCAATTCAAATATTTAAAAAAAAAAAATCTAGATTAATATAATATTCATCTTCGAAAAGTTGCAAATTTATATTACCGCATTTTTCAACGAGATCCCGTTTCGCCCCGTCTATCTTCTACCTATTTCTTGGCTGCCAAAAATACCTCTACAGCCAAAGGTGCGTGCAACATAAACATTTTTGTCACAGTGACGGAACATTTAAATCGAAAGTAAACTAAATCTGTTTAGGATGTCGAAGTTTTCAGCAAAGATAATTCTTTGAATTTTACTACTATAAGAACACTGGGGAGACATTTCGCTTTCGGCAAGTTTTTTCTGCTATAATAGTTGTTTTCTCATCCGATTTTCCTTCGAATCAGAAGGGAGTATGCATAATTACCCCGTTTTAAAAGTTGGGCGGAAATTGTTTCATCGAGTTCAACTTTAAAACGACCATTTAGTTTTAGCAAGTTCATCCCCATACATATTCATGTTCACCATTAAGTGGGTATTTTTATTCCATATACAGAATGAAACTTGCCATTCAGGTTTGTGCAGCCTCATTACAACTCTGCTCATTTGAAATCTATTCGTTTTGAAGGAAGTTATCAATTAAAGATAAACACAAATAACAAATAATTATACATTGTTTCCTCTTCTTTATTGAATGCTGGCTCAGCTACTTAAAATCTATAGGTAGCTTCCCCAAAGCGCCGCTGAATATTTTTTAATTTTCGCATCATCTTTACCATCTCGTTTGTTAAATAAATGTATCAATTTGCTGGCAACGAAAGCGTTGACACAAGTTGATTTATAGCATGCCATTCAAGCGAAAATGTTTGCAAGAACTATTTCGTTTTATTGCCCGTAATTTAAATTAAAGTGAAAAAGAAAATTAGCCATGAAAGAAAATCCCTTTCGTTTTATTTTTTTTTTGTTTTATTGATGTAAATTGGTCCCACTCCGTTTAGTGTAGATGAAGGAAACGAAAAATTCTCGAAATAAAGAAAAGCAAAATAAAAAGAAGAAAAACGCATATGACAAAAAATGATAAAACATAGCTCCCTGCAAAATTAGCAACGCAAGTAAGCGACTGTAAGCTGCAATCGTTTCAAAGTCTCTTCAATGCAACTATTCTATAAAGCTGCGGACCAATCACATATGTGAACACTAGCTTACGCTTTCGTTTTTCAAACTGGGTGGTAATCACGAAGCTGAAAGTTAACTTGAAGTTTTTCGCTGGGATGTGTTAAAAAAGCCCAATGTAAGAGCACTTTGTTTGGGCCTTAGTAAAGTTGGGATTAGATTTGGAATGTAATCTTATTCTTTATTTATTTCAGTTATTATTTGATAAAGGTTTTTATTTTAATTTTGCGTATTATACGTCCGCCACGTTATCTTTTTTATAGTTTTTATTAAAAAATGCATATTGCAAGTAGTAGTTTCCGATGTGTTATATATGTTATGTGGTGTATGAGTATATAAAAATATATAAAGGAATTGATTAGTGTGACAGCAAAAAGATGTAAAAGAGAGTAGATCCACACCAAAATAAATATTCGTCCCAATTGAAATATTACAGTTATGAAACGTATTTATTTTCATCGATTGTTTGTTTATCACCAGAAAAAGCGTCGCAGTTGAAAGATATGAAAACCCCAGCATAAACTTTGAAACTAATAATGAAATAGGGCAGGAATAAAGGAAAAATTAATTTTCTGGTAAAAGTAAAAATGGTATGCCAATTGATTGGAGGTGCTTTGAGGAAATATTAGTTTGGGGAAAAATAAATCCATTATTTTTATATGAACTTCAGGACTTTATTTAACATGCTT